GGTGAAGGTGTAGGATCCCACATGGCCAACTATGCAGTTCTAATACTGGACTTGGCAATTTGAAAATCATGCCAACTGTGTGTGCATGTGTGCTCAAAATCCCAAAAGAAGATGGAGGAAGACAGATTATAGTGGGGCTTTATCCCCACCCCGTCTCTCTCTGGTGAGTGCGCAAGCCCTATAGCAAAATAAATAAAAGTTAAAATTTAAAAAATCATTAGTAGGTTAAATAAAAATTAGCGTTTTAACCATTTTGAGAATACACACTGCCTGAGTTCTATGACCTACTTTTTAAGACTTGGAACCTTGGGCAATTGCTTAACCTCACTCCATTTCATAGTCTCGTCAGCAAAATGGGGGTGATAATAGCTTTTATCTCAGAAGTTGTTACATCAAATGAGTTAATATAGATATACTTAGCAGGTGTTGTTTAAAAGCTATCTTCAAAGAGTTTTATATTCTTGCTTCTATAAACAAGATGTAATTTCTGAATAACCTCTATCTATAAGGAGCCACATGATTAACTACACTTTTTAATTAAATTTAGGTATCTTTTACTAGGTACACACCAATATATACTGTTGTCTCTATATATAATACTTATAATATTCTTTAAATTTGCATCAACTTACCATAAACTTATTTCCTGTAGCAATGATGGGCTCTGAAGTATAACCTTTAGTTGGAGTGGACCACTTGGGATCATTTGCATTAAGTATACACATAAGCTTGTTCTCTGCTTCACTGCAAAAGGTATCAATATTCTAAGAAAATAAATTTGAAAAACTAGTAAGTTGTGAGTCTATACATTTATGTTTTAGAAAATATTTCCTTTAAAATCAGAAAGAAAAAATTTATACTAGAACAAAAGAATGAAACACCCAAAATTTGCCAGCAAGTGTCAAGCATACTAATACAAAACCAACATTAGTAATTTAGGGGAACCCAGTTGTTGGAGGGAGGAGGGGAAGGGGCACAAGCGGAAGAGAGAAAGTATGTACATACAGGAAAGAGGTGTGAAAGGTCTTCTCAGCCATCTAGTGTAACCAGTATTTATCATGTGACAGTGGATTTGAAACTGGAAGACGAGGGGTTGTGGGAAGGGGCTCAAGTTTTAGCTGTATTGTCTAATAGAAGAAAACCATCTAACATCTAGAGTACTCCTTTGGTTAGTAAAATGAGAGCACTGCCTCACCTGCCTCACATCTGTTGAAATTATTACCTGAAATACTGCATAAGTTAAACTACTGGGTTGTCGGTAAAGTCACAATGCATTTTTGCATATAAAAACATAGAAAAAATAGGTAACTTTTCTGACAACCTACTACACACAACTATTGTTTCAGAAGTCACAACTGGTCAAATACCAGCAATTTCATGTGGTTTGACGTACTATATGAAAGTATTTTGTGAAACTTTAAAATGCTATGCAAATTAGTCTTCACAGCAGGATTAGTGGATTGCCCCCAAACAGGTCTCAGAGAAAACCTGGGAGGTAAACAGTAAGTTCCCATGGATGCAATTCCCATCCCAATTTAGAAACTAGATAAATCAGTGTTATTTTCCACTAAGTGTATCAAGTCTTAAGTAAAATATTAATCCTGAGTTCCTTTATATAGCTGCCTACGTTAATGCTTTTAAATGTAGTTTTATTTACATAAATTTTGAATAACACACATTTCAAATATTAAACTACAGAATTAAGAGGCTTTTTTTGTGGATTCTTCACTAGTTGCTAATTCATTTATTTATTTTTTAAGAATTACTTAATTTTATTATTATTATTTTAATTTGCTACAGGGCATGTGTACTTGCCAGAGAAAGAGAAAGAAAGTGAGCTAGCAAGCTGCCAGGTCCCAGACTTGAACCATGGTCGAGCATGAAGCAGTCCACTGCCCTAACCACCATGCCACATGCTGGCTCACTAGTTACTAATTTAAAAAACCCAAAATATTACTGGGAGGCAGCACAGCACAGTAATTTAGAGTTTAGGTTCTGTATTTAGATGACCTAAGTATGGATCCTGGTTCTACCAACATTGCAAGTGGCTCAGGATAAACCATTTAACCACTCCGCACGACAATTGTTGAGTAGTAAATGAGACAAGCATGACACAGTAAATACTCAATAGACATCAGGTGATATTATTATATAATGTGTTGGGTCATCGGAAAAGTTATGATATATATTATATTTTTCTATTTTTTCCAGGCAAAAATGGCATCATGACTTTTCTGATGACCCAATATATATAGACTTAAGTATAAAATGATTTGTGTCTCCTATTTGGAATTCATTCAAATCAAAGAGATATATAAACTGTATGAAATACTAGATGTAGAGATTAAATGTAAACTTGCTATCTACACATTATTAACTCATTATGTGGCTGACTATGGCAAACCACAGTAACCCATATTAATCTTGTTACAAATGTTCAATTTGCTCACATGGTCTGAATCTTTGAACAATCTTCTCATAATTTCTTCTAAGTCAATTCCATTCAAATCATTCTTTTCTCTCTGGAAGCTGTCATTTTCCTACTACCCATCTTCTTAGATTCATGGGCAGTTAAAATAATGATGAAATCTCACTTTTTATACTACCTCAACTATTCACTTTTCATAAAAGTCACTTCCTTGATAGTTGACTATTGAATAGGGAAATACTAAAAATGTGTGGTAATGCCTGAAAAGTATATATTTACCTCGGGACTAGCAGTTAGTGTAATGGCTATGTCGCTGGACTCCCATGTAGTCGACCGCGGTTCGCGTCCTGGACCCAGTGGCTTAAAACTCACACCGGGCATGTGTGCGTGCGTGCCCAAGATCCCGAGAGGAGAATGGAGGAGAAGGGATTGCAGCGTGACCATCCCCCCTGGGGGGTGATTTCTCACTTTCTATCTCTCTGTCTGGCGAGTGCACACACCCTATAGCAAAAACCTTTAAAAAAAAAAAGTATATATTTACCTCAACAGTATTTTTCATTTTGTTGAATCTCTCTTTAAAGTGGTTCTCTTTAGGACTGGAAGAAAACATGGAAAAATCTCCAGCAAATAAAGTAGGAATTCCTGATTTCAACTGTGGTCGCCACTGAAGGTTGCTTGCAGCAATTAACAAATGAGGTTTAATAATATCTTCATTAAGATCTACCCAAAACTTTATGGCTAGTAAATTATGGCATTCATCTGACACATAGACCAGAGAAGTAAGACCTAGGAAGAAAAAAAAGTCACCATAAATAAATGTTAGATTTAAAATGCAAGGAACCTCTAATAAACTCATTTGGTATATGCTAATGGTAAAAAGAAAATGGAAACAACTGAATTTAGAGGAAGCTCAGGATTTCCAACATGATCTGTTTCTTATAGTGCTAAAATTCCAATGCCAATATGACAACACATTGTATTAGAGACCATGGGGAAAAAAGTCTATCCATACACTGCTGGTGAAAATACAGATTTGAGCAACTCTTCTGGAGAAAAATTCAGCAACACCTAGCAAAGCTACATATGCACTGATCTTTCTATTTAGCAATCTCACTTCTAGTACTCCACTCTGAATATAGACTTCTAATAACAGTAAAATACACATGAACGGGGTTTAAGAATAACATTGTGAATGAGGTTATTAATTGAAGCACTGCTTGAAATTTTAACACTGGAAGCAAACCTGTATCAGCTCATCCATAGGAGAGTGTTTGGATAAACTTTGGTACATTCATAAAGAAGTATACTGGGAACAAGCAGTTAGCGTAATGGCTATGTTGCTGGACTCCTACGTAGTCAACCGTGGTTCGCGTCCTGGACCCGGTGGCTTAAAACTCACGCCTAGCGCGTGTGTGCATGCGTGCCCAAGATCCCGAGAGGAGAATGGAGGAGAAGGGATTGCGGTGTGACCATTCCCCCGGGCGGTGATTTCTCGCTTTCTGTCTCTATGTCTCTGTCTGTCTGGCAAGTGCACGTGCCCTATAGCGAACCCCCCCCCCCAAAAAAAAATCAACAACAACAACAAAAGAAGTATACAATACACTGTAAAAAAAGAAATGAGGAAAATCTCTATGACCTCATTACCAAGACAGTGTTAAGCGAAAAATGAAAAGCACAAAAGAAACGCCAGAGCTTTTCTTCTTATAAGTGATATAAAAATTATGCATGTGACCTGTTCATCTGAACAAAGAAATACAAGAAGTATAAACCAGAAACTAGAGGGAGAGGATGTGAGTGGACAAAAAAAGGAGGACTGGGATGGAGGTAGCTGGGATGAGGAGGAAGTGGCATTTCTCCAAGTATATTTTTATATAGCTCCGACTCTTACAACCACAGTGATATGTCACATGTCCTTAACATATCCCCAACACAAACATAACCAGGTATGAGGGAATCCATGGAAGTCAAACATTCCCCAAGAGAGCCTGGAAGCAATGATGACTCACAATAATGAGCACACCTAGCAACCAGGTCTTGGTTCTAAAACACTAGTTTCATTTTGTTTCGTTTATTTTTCTTTTCTTTTCTTTTATTCCTTTCCTTTTTCCTTTCCTCTCCTTTCCTTTTCTTTCCTTCCTTCTTTCTTTCCGAGAAATTTTTGCTATAAGGCACATGCACTCGCCAGAAAGAGACAGACATGGGACCAGTAGTTGGCATAATGGGTATGTCGTTGGGACTCCCATGTAGTTGACCCCAGTTCGAGTCCCAGACCCGGTGGCTTAAACTCACGCTGGGCGCATGTGTGTGCATGCCCAACATCCCGAGAGGAGAATAGAGAAGGGACTGGCATGGTCATTCCCTCTGGGGGGTGATTTCTTGCTTTCTGTCTCTCTATTTCTTTGTCTTTCTGGTGAGCGCATGTGCCCTACAGCAAAATATGCTCTCCCCCCCAAAAAAAGAGGCAGAGACACAGAAAGTGATAAATCATCCTCCAGGGGGATGGTCACACCACAATCTCTTCCCTCCATTTTCTTCTTGGGCTTTTGAGCAAGCATGCCCAGTGTGCGTTCTAAAACATTGTTTTCTACCAAAAAAAAAAAAAAGAAAAAAAGAAAACAAAACCCCCCCCCAAAAAACAAGGTTCCCTGGAATACTTGCTGATTCTAGGACTGAGTAACAGATATATAAGAAAAGCCTGAAATATCCTGTGATGCCAGAAAGTAAGGAAGTGCTCAAAAAAATGAAAGAGGCTGATTGAAAGAACACAGGAGTCAAGATGAAGAAGTTCCTGGTGCCCAAGGCTGAGATAATTTGAGCAACGAAAATATAAAGGTACTGAATTTTAATCTGTAGAACACAGTAAATATTTTTAAGTTCACACCAATATACATAATTAAATAATAAAAAATCAGGGTGAAAAAGGGACACATTTTTCTTGCAGAATTCCAATTAATGCAAAAGGAAAGAAGGAAAAAATTATCATTAAGCAAATACCTCAGTAATAACTATAGCAAATAAATCAATGGATGGATACTAAAATAAATGGGTGAAAGTTTGGGATGAAATAAGACTTCCCCAGTCTCAAAAAAAAAAATCTCACCAAACATTCAGTACTACAAAAGGTAATTATTTTATAGCTGTGAATATTGTCAGAATCAAAACTGAGTCATTTTTGTTAACTTACAACTAAATGATTACACTGAGTGCACATGTGCCCATGGTGTGGGGCTGGCTGGAACCTGGGGTGGATAGTGGCATCGTGACCCTGTTAGGGTGCTGTTTCTCTCTCTCTTACTTGAAGAAATAAACCTAAAAAAATAAATCCAGGGAATCTCTCTCTGTCTGTCCAGCGAGCGCACGTGCCCTATAGCAAAAACCTCTCAAAAAAAAAAAAAAAATCCAAAGAAATCTACAGTGTAGGTAATAATATGTATACCAATGTTAACTTCTTGATTTGAACTATAATGAAGACTATGCAAGATGTTAACATTATGTGAAGCTCAGTAAGGAAACTGTGTACTATTTTTGTAACTTCTGAAGGTCTGAAATTAGTTCAAATTAATTCAAAATAAAGTTTCAGAATTCTAATACCAAAAATGGGTAGGGGACACTGGATAAGCTGGGACAGGTCTGAGGTTAGGAAAACCTGGGGTTGTACTAGCACTAATAAACACTCAATCTTACTGCTTATAGTTTTTTCTGTTATTTGGAGAATTGTGCATCCCCATATAAATGATAGGAATGGAAAGAAATGTCATTATCAGATAATGATTTGTTTATCCTGCTACAAATGAAGATTTATCCTTTTATATTTTTTTAACTTTAAGGTAGACTTAAAAATAATTTAAACCAAATATTAAAACCATGCTTTTGTATAGATAATGAGTTTCCCAAGCATGTTCAATTTTCTAATTTTGAATTTGCCTCTAATTATATTAAAATGCTGATTAAAGTACTTCCCTTCTCTCAAATGTCCTGCAAAACAAAACTTCAGTGTATTTTCATTTCCTTTTTCTATAAAAAAAGCTTTCATAACTGGATCAAACTGCATCAGAAGAAATGAAAGCCAAACTTATTTCTCTGATTACCATTCATCTTGTACAAATGGTAACAACTAGAAGACTTTTTTTAAAGGAAATACTCTTGGTATGTTGGCATTAAATAAATCTTCATGAAAGTAAAAGCATTCTGCAGCTTTGTAGTATGGGCCTACTCTGAATTTACATAGAATTCTTTGTTGTACCTTTTTTTATTCCTTTTAGAACATTTCACTGAAAAACAAAGCACTTACAGTTTGTAAAACTACTTTCATACATTTTACTGGAGTGATTCCCTGCTCAGGACACAGGTTGTGCCCCTGCAGCTTTTACAGACTGCTGGCTATTGACAACTTACATCCATGGTGCTTCCTGGGCTGCCCTCGAAAGGCTGTGTCTTGCCTAAGGTTATGCCTGCTCCCTTAAGGATGCTAGCACTGAACCACTGGCTCCTACCTCAGGCTGGTATGACTCTGAATGGCTACTTTATCTCTAGAAGTGTCCATGGGCCTGACTTACCCTTTGTGATAACTGTATAGCAATTCAATTTCTTTCTCTGCCCAATCCTGTTGGGCAGTGTTCCTCCCTCAAAGGGGTTGTTTTTAGAGAACTTTCCAATAAATATGCATTAGATTTGTGAGTCTGTTTCTCAGGAAATTCAGTCTAAGAAATGGTCTCGTGTAATTTATTCATTTATTCATAGAGCTTCTGTAATCTAGTAATAAAGCATTCTATTAAAAATATAGACATCCCCCTTTTAAGCCTAACTCTCAAATGTTGGGTTTGATTGTGTTTATTTTGTTGGCATTAAGTATAAGAAAGAATACATGCGCTTTAGAGACTGGAGATATGAGTTCAAATCACTTTATAGCACCGTGACCTTGGGCAGGTTACTTAACCTCTCTGAGCTCATTACTTCATCTGTAAAGCAGGACTATAACAGCAAATGAATAGTGCTACTATGAGGAATGTATGAGATGAAACCTACCTAAGGTTTCTACATCCCATTATGTTAGAAGTGGGGACAGAAAAAAACTAGAGTCCCTGTCCTCAAAGAGATCACAGAATTGCTAGGGTTGGGGGGTAGGGGAATTCCAAAATGTAAAAGCAGGACCACAGATCATGTGATGAATGCTGAAACAGTCAAACTCATGAAATGCTACAAAAGCTAGAGGAAAGAATATCTAACCCCCTATAAGCATCTGGCTAGGAGGTAACACTAGAGCTGAATAATGAATGGGAATAATTCATTGAGAAGGGAAGAAGAAAGTGAAGAATATTTTTAAATAGAATAGAAGCAACCACAAGAGGTCTGACACTTCTATATGGATTCTTCCACTTGCATGGCTATTTATTAGGTCACTGGGAAAGTCATGACATACAAAAACAGGAAAGTCATTTCCTATGCAAATATGTGTCATGACTTTCCTGATGACCCAATATATACTTCATCCCCTTTCCCTCTGTAATCATGAGTTCCCTCTGTGACCGGAGAGCTATTAGATACGGTTCCCACAGGTGACTGGGAACTATGCTCCACAACTCTTCTCTTTTTCTTCCACCCTCAATTTTCATCCCCTTTTTTAGCTCTTTTCTCACCACATATATCTCATCTGTCTGTTATGAGCACTTTCATTTGGAAAAAAAAAAACCACTCTCTGGATCTCAATTTCTCTTCTAGTTATGGTTTCATTTCTCTTCTATCCTTAAAGCAAAACATCCATGAAAGACCTATATTACCTGTCTATAGTTCTCTCTTTTTATTTCCCTTGCCTCAATTCAATCATTCCTTCACTCTCACCACTCCACAAAAAGGACTCCCCTCCCTGGTGCTAAAACTAATGATCAGTTGTTAATCTAAAACCCAATGATCAATTATTAGTTCTCACCTCACTATCAATGTTATCAAATAGCATTTGGCAGACTTAATCACTCCCATCTTAACAATTCTTTCTCTTGGTTTTCAGTAAACTTCATTCTCTTCAGTATTCATGCCGCCTTCTGGCCATTCCTGTTTCCTTTACTAGTTCTTTATGTCTCCCTTATCTCTTGGTATCAAAGTGCTTTAATCAGTCCACGAATTTCTTTTCTGTCTACTTCTAATCCATAGTGACTTCCGTTAATTCCTGGCTTTAAATGTCACCTGTATGTTGATGGCTTCTAAATTTATTCAGCCCAGACCTTCTGCCTGGAAGAGACGCCCATACTGCCATCTGTCAAGCAGACATCTCTGCTTAGATATCTAATAAGCACTGTCTAATAGTGAATTCCTGACTCTCTCCTGCTTTTCTTATAGTCTTTTCTTCTCAGGAAATGGTAACTATTTTTCCAGATGCTCAGAACCATCCCATATTGTTCCTTAACATTCAAAATACAAACAAGGTCACCAACCATGATTACCACTTCCATTACTTTTGTCTGGTTCTTCATTATCATCATCACCATTATCTCTTACCTAAACTCTGGCAATAGCTTCCAATTAGTTTCCCTGTTTGTAGCCTCCCACACACTACAGCCTATTCTTTCCTTTTTCTTTTTCTGGAGAGTTTTTTTTTTTTTTTCTTGGCTATAGGGCGTGTGCGCTTGCCAGACAGACAGAGAGAGAGAAAGCGAGAAATCATCCCCCAGGGGGGATGGCCAAGCCGCAATCCCTTCTCTGTTCTCCTCTCGGGATCTTGGGCACACACGCACACGTGCCTGGCGTGAGTTTAAGCCACCAGGTCCGGGACTCGAACTGCGGTCGACTACATGGGAGTCCAGCGACATAGACATTCCTCTAACTGCTGGTCCCCACTACAGTCTATTCTTAACAGAACAGCCAGAATGATCCTGTAAAAATCATCAGACCTTGTCACTATTCTTCTTTAAATTTTCTTGTGATTTTCCATTACTTTCAGAGTAGAAATGAAAGACTCAATGTTGAGTGAAATGAGCCAGACTTTGTATATCCCCACTCGATTTGTACTAAGTGTCTGCACTTTACAGCAGAGGTTGAGAGATGGATGGAGAGAATGGGGGTGGATGCTAGCGACAATAAGGGGGGAAAGTGATTGGTAGAGAGTAGTGGTGGATAGTGGGTGTAAGAAAATAAAATTTAGGAGTCATATCTGCTTACATGTCTGTTAAACTAGCTTACAGGTTGTTTCATTAATCTTGATCAAATTATGCAAGTTTAAGTGCAATTTACTTTTGAATACTATAAATAATAAATTTCTGTTCACTAGAGAAAAATCAAAATCAAAATCAAATAGTTCACTATAGTGTGTATCTGTTAATTCACTTGGCATCAAAAGAATGCTGAAAGGATAGGACTAGTGTGCAAAATGTTTACAATCTTCTGTAAAATTGCAGTTTATCATTAGTTTGTACCTGTTGTTGTTATAAATATTACCTGTATTTTTGGTATGTACAACTTTATACTTTGAACCTTGTATCTGTGAATTTGCAACTGAAATTTGTTTTGTCAGTGTTTTCTGAATGAACTGAATAAAGTTTCTGTTAAAAAAAAGCTACCCACTCTATAACAAAAACCCAAGTATGACTAATATGAAGTGGTATTGCAACAATGTAGCATGCTAGCATAATACAGTAAAGAAAACCCTCAAAGCAATAAAACAAAACTAACCAAACAAAACATTTTCAGAAAGGAGCAAAAGAAAAGACAAAGAGCCCAACCCACAAGAAAATAAAACTCAAAGAATTGAAATTTCTAAAGTTCTTCACAGTTGATTCTTGCTACTGAACTTAACATATAATTCAATAAAATAGAAGTCTGACTATGACATAGATGATAAATGACCATGTAAGGTGATAACGAGATTGTAGGACCAAAGAAAGTAATTGAGGATAATAATATAGCAACGCAATGGGTCAGATATATGCATTAGAAATAGCAGGGAACGGGACTTGCAGTTGGCACAATGGCTATGTCGCTGGACTCCCATGTAGTCGACCACGGTTCAAGTCCTAGACCCGGTGGCTTAAACTCACGCTGGGTGTGGGTGCGTGCATGCCCAAGATCCTGAGAGAATGAAGGAGGAGGGATTGCAGTATGGCCATCCCCCTGGATGGTGATTTCTATCTCTCTCTGTCTGGCAAGTGCACGCGCCCTATAGCAAAAACCTCACAAAAAAAAAAAAAAAAAAAAAAGCAGGGAATAGGGACCAGCAGATGGAATAATGGTTACATTGCTGTACTACCATATAGTCGACCATGGTTTGAGACCTGGAACTGGCAACTTAAAACTCACGCCAGGCATGTGTGCCCAAGACCCCAAGAGAATACTGGAGGAGGGTCTGTGGGGTAGTCATATTCCCTTGTGGGTCAATTCTCACCTTCTGTCTCTCTGTCTGTCTCTTGGTCTCAAGCTAGTGGACATGCCCTATAGCAAAAATCTCTCAAAAAAAGAAAAAAAAAAAAAGGGAATAAAACAGGTATTGCAGTAAATAAAATTGAGGATATAAAAGCTAGGTATAATATTGGTATATAAAGATGGAAGAGACAAAGAAGTAGAAGCAATCAAAGAGATTAAAAATAAATTTAAAAATAATCTGACATAAAGCTAACTGGTGTTCCTGAAGTAGGAATCCCAATAAATGGAACAAGACTACTCAAAGATACAAAATTTCTCTGAATAAGAGAAAGCATTGAATTTGCAGATTAAAAGAGCATCCTATGTTCCAGAAGAAATGTATGCAGAATGTTTATAGTAAGACATAGTTTAGTTAAGCATCTAGACTTGCAAATATATCTTTAAGCACCCAGACGCAGAAAGAAAATTACTTAAATGGGGAGAAAAATTAGTCCATTCCCAGACTTTCCAAAGTTGAAAGAGCAATTTCTATGAAATTCTTAGGGAAGGGAAAAAGCATGACCCTATAATATTATACCTACGCAAGATATAGTCTCAGAATCAAAGCAACAGGCATATATTTCAAACATGTGAAGCCCTCATGGAGTATGGTATTCTTGAAGGCTTCTCGGGAAACAACAAGCCAAGGAAACAAAACAAAACCAAAAATCTGATGATAAACTTTAGCCATAGAACTGAGTAAGGGAGAAACCAGGAAAGCGCAGTTGGTAAACAATCCATCAAATATTTGAGAGCCCATCTCATACCACACACAGCTTAAAATATATATATATAATTTATTTAGTTTTATTTATTAGTATCATCAGTTTTTAATTTGCTAAAGGGCACATGCATTATGAGAAAAAGAGAGAGCAAGTGAGTGCGCATGAACTGCCAGGTCTGGGACTTATACTGCAGTCCTCCATGTGGGAGTCCAGAGCTCCAACCATCTGCCGGCCTCAACCACAGTTTTAAGAGCTGAGGAATAGCAATAACAAAGTCTTGCCCTTTTAGAGCGTATATTCTGGAAGAAGGAGAAAAAAATACCAACATAAATAAATAAATAGTTAGGTGCTAAGGAGAAATTTTAAAAAAGGGCAAAGGGGAGAAAGAGTGCTGGGCTGGGAAGCAGACAAGGTTAGGGAAGGAGAGACTTTTGTAAGGCTGCTTTGAACCATAAGAAACCAAGTAAGTTAAACATGCAGTTTGAGGAAAGTTTTTCTGGGAGACTCATCTGAAGATGAGCACACAGGGTCTGAGATGAACAGCATGGAAAGCGTCACTATAACTGAAGTGAAATGGGAGCAAGAGTGCTAGAAGGCAAGGCTGAGCTGCCTGGTACACAATAAATAACTCATAAATGGAAAGCCTTGCGCTTCAACAGGGATCTAAGCTGGGACTTGACATCTGTGTAGTACTTAGGTAGATGAGTGTATGGCTTTACAGATAGGATGGAAACAGGTATGAAAAGAAGAATGTGCCACGTCATATTTAAAAATAATATAGACAAGAATTTCGGCAAAGATATTGGGGAGCAGTACAAGCTAGAAGATGTGAAAAGTCTGAATAATCAGATAACTACAGAGGTAGATATAATTGGTAATTACTAAAATGCTGCAATAACTTTAAAAAAATCTAAAATTAAGTAGCATGGAATAGGAGTTTTTAGCTTGAGATAATGTACAACTGTTTTACATTAAGAATCCAAACAGGGTCAAAAGAGGCCTACTTTCAAATCTCTAGCTAGCAAATTCACCAGTTGGTAATGCCAACTAATAATAAAGATGAATTTTAAAAGACAATACTTTTTGAAAGAAACAAAAAGGTACAATTAGATACACTGCACATTACCTATTTTTTTCACAACAGAAACCACAAATCCTATTAGGTCCACCTCAGAACAAGGGGGCTGAAAGTCTGGATCTAATAATCTGTCGAAGTGAAGGAGCTCCCTTGGCTGGTAAACCTGTAATAAGATTTCATCTGAAGCCTACAGAAAAGACAAGACACATTCAGTATATGGAGTGTCTATAGGCTAATATGCATTTATCAAAATTAAAGAATTATAAGAGTGTTTTTTTTACCGATAGCTGTTGATACTGAGTTTTTCTCGTTGCTGCTAATTGTATGCTAGCTCTCTCAGATTTACTTTTAGATTTTGATGTTGCAAGATGATAGATTCGAAATCTCTTTCC